CGCCGCGTCCAATCAAACGATTTCGAAATTTTTCATCGAGTTCTCTTCGTGCAATCAATGAATAATTTGCTGGACATCCATCATGTTGATACCACATGGTTTGTCGTGTAAGTAAAAATAACTCCTCTAGTAGAAGACCCAATGTATCGTTGATAAAATTAGCGTAGATGTTGCCATTCAAATTTCCATTGGATATTATTCCATAAATTTTATTCTATTGGACTGAGAAAAAAACAAAAAACTGCGATGCGGAGGATCTTCCTATTAAAATTAAGATCTTATATTAGGTAAGAATTCTTTTAAGGTGTCAAGGAACCCATTTTTGCGTAGCACTTGAAAAAAAAAAAAGAAATTTTTTTGACCAACCCTAATATATATATTACCAAGAGGTTCAAATATTTTCTCCGGCTCATTTTCTTTTAAATTGTTTTGTTTTTCCACACTGTTTATGAGTCCTTCAGCTTCAGATATGCCTGTTCCATGTTCATTTGCTCTCTCGTCTGGAGTTATAGGCGGGATTTTATCCAGAATGTTCAGTGATTCTTCCTCTTTCAATTCTCCATGTTGTCTTTTTAAAGTAGTTCTTTCTAAGGTCAAATAAGCCGACTTGTAGAGCTTATAACATACACAAAATTTACTTAAGGATTTCATATCCTATATATATATATAGTTGGGTTGGTCAAAAAAATCAATTATTTTTTTTCTACAAGACAGACTAAAAAATTGGTTGCTAAAAATTGGATGACGAATATCTTTTAAACGCTTAACTTAATCGCTAGAACATAAGACTTTTCATAAATTTTCTTAAATTTTTATAGAGCAGTTAATTTCCTACAAAAATTTGTATTGCGCATTATATAATACTTATTTATTGTCGAGTAAAAAAATTCATTATAATAAATGAAATTTGTCTGAAAATACTTAAACTTAAATCTTCAATATACTTCAAATGAAGAGATTAACGGAAAAATTATAAGACACCTTCTTTGTAGAGCATTACATTTTCTACAAGATTCTTTTAAAACATTTTTCTGTACAGTTAATTAATGATGAGGTATGAATTTTAATCTATTGGACTGAGAAAAAAACAAAAAACTGCGATGCGGAGGATCTTCCTACTAAAATTAAGATCTTATATTAGGTGAGAATTCTTTTAAGGTGTCTAGCAACCAATTTTTCAGTGTTTCTTAAAAAAGAAAAAGTAATTGATTTTTTTTGACAAACCCTAATTTATAAATATATTTGTACATAAAATAAATTTTTTTTCCTAAATTTTACAATTTTTTCCGAAAAATTAATAGAAGACAAAATATATATATATANTACGCGTAATAATAATTTATACTACAATGTAAATCAAACGAGTTTAAATATCTACATATGTACAACAATATATTGAAAAAAAAAAAAAAAAACAACTTGTTAATTGTAAACGAAGGATAACACCCACTCACATACGTTTGAATTAAATTAATAAATTTTTTGTATGTTTTCCCCCCCCCCCCTTCTATTGAAATGGATACACGTGAAACTTATATAACTCAATTTGAACGTTTCAATGAACAATAGTTAATAATACAATTTTGAGTATGCCAAAAAACATCGTACTACGAAACATGAATGAAAATATCGATTAAGAAAATAAAAGAGAAAATATATATAGGAAGATAAAACTAGGAACGTGCTCGACTCTATTGATTTTACGTATTACGTCATCTACGAGAGAGGAGGGGGAAGGTAGAAGGTGGGAATACGTGCCAAGTAATATTTCATTTTCCATTATCAACGATGTTGCAATTTTCGTCTTGTAAAACAAAAACAAAAAAAACTAGAAACGCACATGTGCGTTCATTCGCGACAAATGTGTCTCTCGTTGTACTTAAAAACACTTCCACGAAAAGAAAAATTCGCATCAACGAGGTGGAAATTTCTTCTCGGATTATTTTTATACGTGTTAATTAACTATTCTTGACCTTTATTTTTCTCTAAGATCATATAAAAAGATCATAGATCGTAATTCTTGTTAACCCTAAATGAACTCGTGGAAATTTTTGTTATAAAATTAATTAATACGAAAAATTGAACATTAAAATAAATAAAAATGTGTTAATTACATTTATCGTAGAATTTATTTCACACAATTAGAATTTGATTATTATAATTAAAAAAAAAAAAAAAAAAAAACAGAAGGAACTAAATAAATGTAAAATAAAAATTTAGAATTATCTGATTTTGTAAAACAATTTTGATTTGAATGATAAGAAATGAAAATATCTATGAATAAAATTAAAAATAGTTACCTTGAGAAGTTATATTATGATTTTATATAGGGTGATTCGAAATTTATGTTTAAAATAAATTGCTATAATTATCGTAGCAGTATTCGTGACCAAGGTGGTTATTTAAACTTAACTGTTTTACCAAACTATTCGTGATATGATCTAAGATACGAAATTGGTGACCTAAATTTCTAGATTACCGATTGAAATTATTATTATTATTTTTTTTTCTTCTTAAATATCATAATAAAAGGATAATTTGTTTTAGTAAACAAATTACAAGAAAAAAGTATAATAAAAAGAATTGTGCTAATATGTGTATAGTGGTGTCATCAAAGTATACTTCTAGGTATACGAACAAAGTGTGGAAAATTGTTATTATTATTATCATGATAATAACGATCGAAGATAGGTATAAAAGCTCTGGAACGTTTCCAAAATCGATATAACTACGATGGTCAGGGTCATTCATTGCTAATAAGAAACTGAAGAAAAACTAGAACCAATTTATTTGCATCTAATAAAACGTGACTGGTTTTTAATCGAAGTAAGAAAAAAAATTATACACAGGAAATAAAACTTGATAATATTTATCATCGAACAAGTATTTTCTCTTACATAATAATCTTATAGTAGACAAACGTGATTGCAATATTATGTTAAACGTAACTGAGTAACAATACTGAATTACAATCGTATTTGTCGTGATTATTAATTAATATGTAACAATTTCAAAATTTTTAAGATTTCAAAATTATTATTTAAGATTAGGATTTTATTTTTAAAAGAATGAATAAATAATTTTTATTGTTATTATCTAAAAATGTTGTAGACATTTGAATGAGAATCAATGGTTTGTTAGAAAAGCTGAACGTAAAAATAGAAATAGTAGAAACTAAAATTGTATTTGAAAATTATCGAAATTTTTTTTAGAAATGAATCATCTACATTGTTCAATAATTTAGAACAATTCAAGAATTGTTAATAATAAATTTTTATTGTGATTATATAAAAATTCTGTTAAACTTTGAAAGAAAATTCAGAGTTTCATTCAAAGGTTTGTTAAATGTTACAAAGTTAATATATAATGTTGAACGTAAAAATAATTGTTTATAAATGTGAAACAATTCAAAAATTGTTATTTAAGATTAGGATTTTATTTTTAAAAGAATGATTAAATAATTTTTATTGTTATTATTTGAAAATGTTGTAGACATTTGAATGAAAGTGAATGGTTTGTTAGAAAAGCTTAACGTAAAAATAGAAATAGTAGAAGCTAAAATTATCGAATTCTTTTTTAGAAATGAATCATCCACATTGTTCGATAATTTAGAACAATTCAAGGATTGTTAATAATAAATTATTATTGCGATTATCTAAAAATTCTGTTAACCTTTGAAAGAAGATTCAGAGTTTCATTCAAAGGTTTGTTCAAATTTCCAAAGTTAAAACATTACGAACTAAAATTGTATTCATTTTAATTATTTGTTAATGTGAAACAATTCTAGAATTGTTATTTAAGATAAATTATTAAAAATAATTCTTACTCTGATTATATTTAAAAATTTTGCAAACCTTTGAAAGAAAATCCAACGTTTCATTCAAAGGTTTGCTAAAATTTTTAACGTTGAACGTAACAATAATTGTTTGCTAATGTAAAACAATTGTAGAATTGTTATTTAAGATTAAGATGTATAAAAAATGATAAAATAATTCTTACTGTGATTATACCTAAAAATTTTGCAAACCTTTGAAAGAAGATTCAACGTTCCATTCAAAGGTTTGTTAAATTTTACAAAGTTAAAACATTACGAACTAAAATTGCATTCCATTCGATTATCTGTTAATGCAAAACAATCGTAAAATTGTTATTTAAGATTGGGATCTACAAAAAAAAAATAAAATAATAATTCTTACATTGATTATACCTAAAAAGTTTTGCACACCTTCGTAAAAAAATTCAACGTTTTTCTAAAGGTTTATTAAAAGGGTTTGAACATAAAGATAAAAAATTAAATACTAAAATTATAAATAGAAAAATTATTCCTTTAATAATTGATTCATCTAGATTGTTAAATAATATAAAAAATTTCGAGAATTATTACAAATTAATTCTTACTCTGATTATTCAAAAAAACCTTAATGCAACTTCAAAAGAAAATTCAACATTTCTTTCAAAGGTTTGCTAAAAATGTTGAACTTAAAGATAAAACATTAAATACTAAAATTATAAATAAAAAAATTATTCCTTTTATAATTGATTCATTCAAATTGTACAACAATATAAAAATTTCAAGAATTATTACAAATTAATTCTTACTCTGATTATGCAAAATTATTAATACAACTTCAAAAGAAGATTCAAAGGTTTGTTAAAAATGTTGAACTTAAGGATAAAACATTGCATACTAAAATTATAAATCAAAAAATCATTCCCCTTAAATATAAAAAGAAATTCATTCATATTGTTTATTAACAGAAAATAATTCAATAACCAATAAAAATTAATTTTTACTCTGATTATTCAAAAACTTTAACACAACTTCAAAAGAAGATTCAAAGTTTTTCTAAAAATGATGAATTTCAATATAATACATTACAAACTAAAATCTAATGAATAAATTTCCAATTAATTCATCCACATTGTTCAATAACATGAAACCATTCATCAATTATAAGATAAAGATCTAAAATTAAAATAAAAAACAATGAATTACTTACTTTGATTATCCCAAAATCTTGCCAGACAACATCAAAAGTAGATCAAACGTTCCTTTCAAAGATTTCCTATTAAAATCCTTTCGAAATCTAAGACTTTCTCAAGCTGCCGACGGGCGTAAGTAACACGAAAGCCACGAACAGACTGCCGGTTTGTGTCTCTCTCCGAATATTTCTTACGAAGAGCCTGATATCTCTTCAAGGTCGAAATAACGGTGCTGCCGATAAGCGTAAATATTTCTTCGTTCGTCGATGATACTCTTCTGTTTTGTTTATTTTCTCGAACTATACTTTCTTTCATTTATTGGTTTCCCCCCCACTCTTTCTGCTTCTATTTCTTACTTCTCTGTCTTGTTCACAACGATATTGAAACATTTACGTAATTAATAAGAACAATTGTGATCAAAGATTTCATATTTGAAATGCATCGAACAAACGATCTATCAAAATTCACACAAAAATTGGGAAATTGATTAAATATGAGTCGAGGGGGTGGTGTTGAGGGAGGTTAGAAATAAAAAATAAAATGATTATAGTAATCGCGAGGAGTGGAACGACTCCGTTCGAATATATCGCTTGTACTAGTTCGATAGTAACTCAGAGGAGGAGTATCAGCTAGTTATGTTAGCTATATAGGTGACTCCGACACGTTCTCTTACGTATTATATATACATATATGTGAATGCATATATGCATTCACATATGAACATATATAAATACATATGTGTTAATGTTTGAACATTGTTATATACACACGTTTATGTGATATATAAGTGGGGCGCTTGCGCCAATCGCGTGGGCGACCTTTATTTACATAGAAACTAGCCCGTGCGCGGGCGTATTATATGCATGAGTTATTATACAACCACAACATCATGTAGCACGTGCGGTAACAACTGAGAATAATCACACGCATCTTCTTCTTCTTCTTATTATTATTATTTTTTTTTTATTTTAAATATTTTTACACCTTCCCAATCTTCACCTTTTTATTTAATTCTCTACACTCACACTTGTTTTCATGGTGTTAATTTTTTAATTACTCTAAGGTATAATCGTTGACACATTTTATTTTGACATATTTTACGCGTCTTGCTTTTTTTTTTTATTTATCATTAATAAATTAAATGCACTAACTGCATTTGCACTAACATTCAGATGCACATAGTATGTATTCACATAATTCTAAGAATCATTGTGAGTAGTATATTAATTATGTTTATATACGTGCACAGGTGTATGTATTATAGTATATTATTTGAATGATTCACTTAATATATATATATATATACGTATATGCGATTTATGAAAACAAAAACAAGGTGTAACCACTTAAGATAATTTCGCGAACGTAGGAAAAAAATATTTGACACTTAGAACGCGAATGATAAAGTTCTTATGAGAGTATGTTACAAACAAGAGACGTTATATTTGCACGAAGTTCAAACTAACATAAGTGAAGGCATGCCGGCATGATTACGTAATGTCTGGCTCTTCGCTTAAGTGTTTACTAACCGATCTGAAAACATACCTAATGTTATCTTATCGACGAACCATAGAGTTTCTGCGGTTATGTCAAATTTATGCAATTTTATTGCATCCCCAAGGACAAATTAATTATTCATTTTTTTGTCTAGTACAATGTACTTTTTTTTCTTATTTTATAATTATTTTACGTTTGTTTTACAAATATGTAGGTTGAATTTATCGATCTTATATAAATTAAGTGATGGTATAGTTCGTTCGTTCGGTTGGTCTAAAATTAGTCGAAGTTCGAAATCGTTTCCGTATACCTAAAGCCCACACTTATTTCAAGTGAATCCATTTCTAATGTTAGAATACGACTACGCGAAAACGTATTTTACATGGAATTTCATCTTAACTATCTTCATTATATAATTTCTACGAAGTACCAAAGTGATGCCTTAATGATAAAACATATTTCTTTGATATTAACAATACTTCAAATTAGTAATACGATTTATTGTTTGCATTAGGACAAGGATTTGAACAAAAAAAAAGAAATCTTGAAATCATCGTTCCAGTTGAGATGACACGATGAGATTAAAATGGGAAATCACTCGATGTTTTATTCGACAGGGAAAACCCAAGCAGTTGTTAATTATTGAGAAAATAAACAAGTAAATTAAATAATTAGTAGTTAATTAGTTTATTTCGTATCATAGTTAATTTAGGTATACATCCAAAACGTGGTATTAAATTCATTATTACATCAGATTTGAATTAATCGTTAAAAACGTCAAATCATCGTCTAAAGTTTTTTATTATTGAAATGCGATTAGATAATACGTTTACTATAGTATGCTAATAAAGTTAGCTGGTGTAAATGAGAACGGTCTACTTTTTTAAGTGTTACACCTTTTGGTGTTATAACACATCGAAGTTCTTTAACACTAAACTTAGTGTTTGGAACAGTAGAGTCAAATGATAGAGTGTTGTAATGTGTAAGGAGTTTAATAATTTGTAAAAAATGTAATGCATGAACATAACTTAACATTCATATCTAAATTAAAAGAAATTATTTTGTTCATTGTCTAATTAACTAAAATTCAATTCTATAATAGGATACATAGTATTTATTTTAAGTAGTCATTTAATCATTCACAGTGAAAGTATACATAAAGTGTTGGCAAGTTGGTTCTGAGTACAAAAAATGTATAAAATGAACATTACCAGGAGTTTACGTAGAGCCGGACGGCTCCTAGTGCCAAACACTCATATATCTTAAAAAATAATAATATAAACGATTAAAAAACAGGTAAAAGGGGTTCGGAGTCATACGATCCATTTTATCAGAGACGCTCTAAACAACATCAGGGGCGGTCGATTTCTGTTTACAGCAGGAAAACACTGCATCGTCTAAGATTTGGATAAGTGTTAAAGCCACATTTCTGTGCTTTAGTCAATATGGTAATTGTTCATCTAAAAGAAGCCCCATTATTATACGTTATATATGGATTGTTCGTTTATTTTCAAATCGGATTTTGTATATATCACGTATTGTCGATATTATCCTGTCCCCTAGTACGAAACATAAATAGTCCTTTAACGCTGTTCAGTGAGACCTACATTCAAAATAGCAACAGAAAAAAAAACAAGAAAAATATTTATATACACATTGAGTCTTAGAATTATTTTATATATAATTGCTTGTAAACAATAATTGATACACAATGTTTTCAAAGTTATATAAACGGTTAATCATTTTAAAAATTATTTATTCCTTTAATGAATAAATTGATATCAATTTTACTACTTTTGAATGTAAATTTTATTGTAAAAGAAATATATTTTTTCAGATAAATAGTAAGAAAAAAAAATTAGGTATATTATATTATATGTATCCAGTACTTGAAATATAAAATAAATTCTGTGAAACGCGAATATTTGTAAATCAATATTATTTGTACTGTCTAGTAACGGTTTTGTATGATATTATACACTAAAGAAAGAAAATCATAAAAAAACTTTGACAATTATAATAAAAGTGTCAAAATAAGCTTAAAACAAACAAAAAAATAAAACTTTTCTTTAAATTCCTTTCATTTTAAACCGACTGATGTTCCAAAGCTGTCAATAAGAAAATAACATTTTCATTATATACATACATATATGCATTATATAATATTAACATTTAATATATATATTACTTTTAGGTATAGAACTTT